AAAGAAATCTCGCTAAATTTCACATGTCTGATGTAGAAACAATCACGAGGCTTCGTAAAATACGCCGACAGCGAATCATTATGATGCTTGTCACATTGATTGCCTTTAACAACAATGGTGAGCTACCGGCCGGCAGCCCGACTGCGCCTAGCTAGCCTAGGCCTATCTTTCGACTACAGCAAGCGAGCTAGGAGTTGAATTCGTTTTACTCTCCGAAGGCCAAGGACCATGGAATAATTATAATCTTGTTAATTCGGTACCAGGCCTAGTTTAGTAGTTGATATGTAATTTGGATAACCTACAACTAGCCTAGGCCTACTATTAGTACTACCCTAGGCCTCTAGTCTAGGCCTAGTGATTATTCTTCTGAGTTTTCCCGAGATTTCTCATAGTTTGAAAGTGCATGTGTGAAACGAACCAAAAATCTCGGAATATAACTTATTACAACTTGTTAATAATTGTTAAAAGCTGTAATATTTTCTGCTAGTGTGAAATGGGTATTAGTGAAAATATGTTTCATTTATAAAATTATATTGATGTGGGATATGATATTAACTTATTTGTAGAAATTATACAGTTTAATGTTTTCAGAGTAACATTTATTCAAAGTGTATAATATTAAAAAAAAATGCGTAAATGATGATTTTATTTTTAATTTTTTACATAAACTGCTATGCACGTCTCATGGCCACTATAGGAATAGACTGCAGAAATGAGGTGAACTTAGACCTGATTTCATCTACCTTGCTAAACTATTGTTTATTTTAATATGTTGTGAGCTGAATTTGAATAAAAATTTAAGACAAAAAATTAAAAAAAATAAAAAGAAAAGAGACAAAAAGAATTTAAAAAAAATGATAATAAACAATATGAAAGAAAATGTGTCAGTGACAATTAAGGGCTTTCCACATTTTACCAATATTTGTTCTTAAAAATTAAATTTCATGACAGTGTTACGACAATAACAGAATCTGTATCTGTATGGGAAAGCAAGTTCCATCTTTCTCTCATCAACTTTAAAGTTAATTAAAGATGTTAAAAGGCATGCCCCAAGAATAAAAATTTAATAATCAGTGTACATGGTACACTATGGTATATAATAATATGCATCTTATTTCTAACCTTATGACCTTTCTTGCCCTTAAGAAAAACATTCTAAAAGGATAAAAGTTCAATCTGATTTCTTAACAAAAAATTAAGATTAGGAAATGTTTCATTATAAGAAAAGTAAACTTTTAAACTCAAACTTGATAAAATAAAATGTCAACCTAAAATTAAATGTGAAAAATTGGGTACTTATTTGTTGCATAAAAGTATATCTTCATGGATGCCACTACGCTAAGGTCCCAACCTGCATATTCCAACTAATTTTATAGATTTCTGTTATACCACTGATAGAAGATCTTCAAGAAGCAATCATATTGCGATGACACCCAAGGGACTAATGGCAGTGACGTATCTAAAAATCTTGAAATAGGAGTGAAGTTTGGGGGGGCTTGATGATCAGTTGAGGGGCGCTAGTTCGCAAAATAAGGTGATTTTAAGTGATTTACTTGACTGTGATTTTTTTTTGGGGGGGGGGGGAAGTGAGTAATTTTTAGGGGAAGCTTGCATAACATACACTCAAGTGGATAAAAATTCACCAAATTTTCGCAGCAAGTGCCCTCTTACTTAATCATTGAGGCCTCCCGCCTCATCTTCATGCTGCCGCACCTCCCCCACCCCTGGCATTTCAATACACCTAGATATGCCACTGCATGGAAGCAGCAGTTTAAAAATATTTTCTGAAAGATGGTGCACTAGGTAAATTAAGTCATCTTTCAAACCCTTAGCAGGAACACAAAGAAGATGTCCATGTATCTGTTAAACCGAATGTGTTGACCTTTGTCTTCACAATAAAATTAAGTCTAAACTTCATTAGAATTATATTTGTGATAATACTGAAATTCCTTTCAAACAATTTTTTTTTTACATCATGATAAGGCATATTTATAGAAATTAATAATGATCTTGATAAGACATATTTATAGAAATTAATATTGTTTGAATTTGAGATAATTTTTACTTGTCAAATCGATAACAAGGTGTAAAATGTCATTTGAATTTAATGACAATTTGAAGCCTAAGTTCAAAATAGGAAGTGACAATTGCAGTATTTAAGACTTGATACTAAACTTCATTAGAATTATATTTTTACATTAATCCAACGCATTTAATTTAATATCATTCAATAAATCCACTTTAAGCCTAATAACACATAAATGAATTAATTAATTACAGTAATTACATGACAGCTAAACACTATAAACAATAAATAATAACCTTTCAAAAAAAGTATTCTTTATTGATTGTCATCTTAAAAACATGTAAAATTCATTAGGATAATTATAAGTAGAAAATAGAAGTTTTTCTTTGTTTTTCTTTTTGTTAAAAAATCAAAATTATTTAAATAAAATGCTATGACATATGATCTGGTATTGTACAAAGGTCAAATGGGGGCAGCGGACAAGGTTGATTTGAGGGGAACTAGCATGCTAAGTGGGGATCTTAACCTACTTGAATGTAATATAGAAAATTTCCAATGGGGGAAAACCAGGAGCTGTGGGGGGAAGAGGGGGGGGGGGGGGTGTTTTTTTTTTTTTTTGGGGGGGGGGGGGGAATACTTTACTGATGTTTAATGGACAAACTTTCAATGATTTGTTTAGCCAAAGCCAATTACTTTCATATTTCCATAGGTCAGGAGGTATTTCATTAGTTTATTACATTATCAATTTAATTAAATTAATGTTATCCATAAGTTAGGGACATTATTGAGCTATCTGCTGGTGATATTAAGAAGTAGTGACATCACAACAGGGGTCAGATACATTAGGTCATCTGTTACCAATTCTGAATATTATGTTGTTGTTTCACTTGACCAGGAAAACAAAAGGTTAAAGCACATCGGAAATTGCAAGTGTGCCTTACGTTAGAACCTTAAGAATAATATGGAACTTACAATAAGTATCATATTACAGTTTGACATAAGGGAGCGTAAAATAAAACAGAAACCACTATTCAAGCCACATTAAAAGAGAATGTAATTATGCATCTTTATATATCAGTAGGTAATGTAAGTAGGTAAACTGTATTAAAGAAAGAGCAGCTTAGTCCAGTCTGCTAAACTTGTGGTAGCACTGTGTGTGCGCAGAACCGTAAAGAATTCTTGGTCCCCGGTTCAATTCCCATCGCTGCTCTCCTTGTACTTCAACTGGACGTCTGACATGCAAATTTCAGAAGCGCACCGTCTTTCGGATAAGACTTTTAAAAGCTGGGCACCGCGCCCGATGCGATTAGTACGCAGCGGATTGTTTTTATGATCAATTCAGACTTCAACTAAAAATCTGCAGACGGCGAATTGCATCATCTCACAGGGCGCAGAGTTAGATTTGTTGGCTGACAGTTGTATGACGGCCGTATTAGTAGTAGAAACCTTTGTCTTTACTGAATACCTAATCAATATGGGGACATTGTTCTACCTTGGGGTCCAGATAACAAAAACTTAAATTTCATACAAAAATAAATGAAAATAAAAATTATAATGAAGAGTTAAAGTACAAGAAGCAAATTTAAGTTAGATCTTTCAAAGATTTTTAAAGTGAGTGAGTGTATAGTGCTGCGAATATTTGAAGGTAGGTTATTCCAAAGTTTTAACAGAACGATATTTAAAAGTTCCTTATACCAGATTTATTTTGCCATTTTGGCAAGACCAAAGTGTTTTTGGATTTGCTTCCTGTATTTATATTGTGCCTAAATCATTGGTCCTGTATGCAATATGGCCAGTTATCATATTAAAAAATGCAGAACTCATTGGAAATACTGTATGTAGGGGATTGTCTCCCGGTGTTCTGCCCAATCACCATCAGAAGGACCCCACTGGAAATAAGTCTTCTTCAGACTTTCATGGGTTATCCTTAGTGTTCACACCAAATAAACCCAATCTAAAGAAGCATTATAAAAAAATTCCTGGCTAAAAAGAAAAACGAACTTTTGCACTAAAAAAAGTTTCACAATCAAGAAAATATATGTAAACTAAAGTTTTACAAAAATGAAACTATGTTATTAACTAAAAAGAAGTTAAAAGTGATACTGGAAAAAGATGGATGGGAATCATTATTACCTAATAGGAAACAATTTGACTCTCCCTAGAGAATAATATTTTGGAAATTAAATTATAAATATAGTTTAATTCAAATTTCATATAGTTTTTCAAATTTATTTACTAGAAATTCCTAATCTCTTCAAACAACAAAGCGACCATGTTACCCAACACCGAAGTACCCAATAATCCCCTTAAGGGAAGTTCGAGAGTTCTGTTTTGATTTAAGGTGATGTATGATTAATATACGACCTATATTACTGTATATTCTACTGACTCAATGCAAGGACCCCTTTCTTGTCACAAAATAAAAATGTAAAATATAAAATAAGATGGGATTCGTCAGAGACTGAAAAACTGTTATAAAAAGTGAATATTGCTTAAAATGCATAATGAACAAACATGACAATAATACAACTCAACTGATTTTTAAACAATATGAAAATATAAACATTAATTGGCTATTTTGTATACTATAATAATTTTAAATTAGAACTTTTATTTTTTTTAAATAAATTTTAAACAAGTTTAATGTTTTCATACTGTAAACAAGCAAATAAATTTCCTTTTTTATGGATAAATAAATTTTAATTTTGATTAAGAAAATATTGTTTTTAAAGAATAAATTAGCAGTCATATATTTTTGAACAAAGATTCTTAAATTTGTTAGTATTCTTTCAAATCAATAATTTTTGTTGTAGTAAAGAGGTAAAAATTGTATACTTTTAAATAGATGGAAGCTGATACTTATTTAATAATTTTCAATGTTAATTTTTCAATTTTAAAGGTTTTTTAAATTTTAAGATACAAAAGTACATGTTATAATATTATCTAAGCAAATAAAGGAACAAAAGTTGCATACCTCAGTTCCTTGCATTATTGCAGAAACTTCCATGGATTCCTCCTCTTGTATATCCTCATTACAAGCAAAGGCAGCGGTCACTGAATCTGGTTCCTCTGTGGATTTCTCCCAGAATGGGGTCCTGAGAGATGCACTATCGGGCATGCTCGGTGACCGTTTTACGATAAGACCTTCAAATTCATAGGGGTCACGATTATGCATCATTAGTTGCTGACTCCAGTCCAGATGACTGGTTCGCTCAAGACTCATGCGTACATCATCCCCATTCTTGTAGTACATTGTTCTCCGTGGCTTCGGTGGCGGGCGACTGACACTAGACAATCGACGGCAAACTGCCGCGGTCATGTTCATTTCCAAAGACTTTGACTTCATTTCAATATCACCAAATGCGTCAACGTCAAACGACGACTCTCCAATATCTTTAAACGCCTCATCTAGCGATTGCGCAATAAGATTTTCAAAGCTACTAGTTAGACTCATGTTATCTTCTGTGGTAACTTCGCTCAAATCAGCATCTGAATAAAGTTCACTGTCTCGGTATCTTTCCCGAAAACTCGCTTTCTTCCACAGTTTTGTAAAAGCTGGGGAATAGTCCGATATTGGGGAACTTGGGGGAGAAGGTACTTTTACTTCTGTTACCTTTTCCTCGTTTTTTCCTCGTATTAATGCTTCAACAATATCAATCTCGGTATATTCATCAATAATTTCTTTCCCTTTTTTGGAGTTGTATACAAACGATTTCTCCTCATTCTCCTGAATCTCATTTACAGCAAGAATTACACATTTTTCTTTGCGCAAAAATGAACCAGTACTATCGGTTATACCTTTTCCATTTTTATCATCATCTTCCTCATGTTCATCATCTTCTAAATTATGTTCCTCTTCGGCAAGTTGGCTCTCAGTTTCGGATTTCTCAGAAAAGTTTTTTTCGTCTTCAGAGCTCTCTGATGATGGCTCTTGTGAGACATATTCCACATTATCGTAAAAGCTTCTTCGTTTTTCTTTATTCTTTTTTCTTTTTCGGGGTTCTGATGGATCATCTAATAAGTCATCTTCAATGATGATGAATCTACCGACTTGTTTTACATGCAGGTCATTTATTCCTTCTGGGTCTGCTGATGCTGACAGTTCCTGACTGTCTTCGATATTTTCAATTTTAAAATCAATTTCTTCAACTCTTCCTTCATTGATTGCATTATCTGCACGAAATTTCTCGCATAATTCAATGTCGATCTCATTTTCTTCCTTAGGGTCAATGCACGAAGAGAGTTTTTTCTCAAACTGTTTGTCTGCACTACACTCAAAACCATCTTTCTCTTTAAGTTTTTCAATATCAGGTAGAGGATTTTTTATATAGAATTTAGAATTACCTCGGACAAGACACTGACCCAACTTTGCATTATACTGGCTCATTCCACCAGCAATTTGCGAGTCTTCATAAAAACGTGAATAACTCTCCGCCTGACCCATTCTAAAATCTGCCTCTTCGTCAGTATCTACAAGATCCTCCTCTGATACTTCTTCACTTTCTTTAACATACACCCAATTATTTTCGTCATCAGCTTCAACTTTCTCAAGATTACACAAATTTAAGGCATCATCGTTATCATCCCAATTATCCTCCGATTCATAATAATCCTCTCTATATACTTCATGCGACGATTCAAATTCCTCGTCAAGGTCTTCAGCTGGTATAACTTGAATAGACGGTATAAATTTTTCAGACTCGCCGGGATAGGTTACGGAAACTAAAGGTACTGGTCTATTATGAGCGTCCCCAATGGATTTTCTAATCGGTACTTTAGGTTTACTGTCGCTTGACTGTCTAATCGAAGTTTGGGACTGTTCATATGGTTCTGACACATTGGCAACTGATGATCCAGGGTTTTCCGACGCTTCTCCAGGACTTAGCTCCTCCCCTTTTGAATACTCATTGAAATGTGTCAGCCTACTTGAACTAGCAACTGCTTTAGCTTGCAATGTGCTGCTGTCAAGGTTGATAGGCTGCCTAGCATCAGTCACTTCCTGCTCTGTAGCTAGCTCACATCCTGTGGTGTGCAGCTGAGCTGAGAACGTCAGGCCATTGGCTAGTTCAAGTTCCCTCCGCTGGGCTAGCAGATTGCCTTGCATAAAGCGTTGCAGCTTATCATTGCTGCATTTATTTTTGCTGTAGTTTGCGACATTCTCCACAGATCCTTCCGAGTCAGAATCGTCCTCATCAGAGCTACTACCGAGCAGTTCAAGCCTCACAGAAGCACAGTTTGAGAATGTCACACGTCTAGATATTGAACTCTGAACCTTGTTTGGTATGTCACCGGTAGATACGTATTTTTTCAAGATACCATTTCTCCGGACTGAGCTTGTTTCTTCTTTGGAATAATCTCCCTCAAAATATAACTTTTCACTGTCACTGAAAAAAAATAAATTTTATGAAAATTATTAAAGGAACGAAACATAAAATTTATTAATATATGAAAAAAAAATTATAAAACAAACTTTCCATATGAAAACTTTTTTTTTTTTTTTTTGAAGTCGTACCAACACTGAAATATTATATTAATTAAATTAGTAGTATCAATTAAATATTGTGGTACATAGTAATAATAACTTCTAAAGCACAAAATGATGGAGCTTCAATGTGCTTAACATTAAATTAAAGAAAATAAAGAATTGAGAATAAGATTTTTGAACTAGTAACAGCATTGAAATATATTAATTATTAGCAGTATCAATAATATTGCAGTAACAGTAATAACTTTAATCAAATTAGAGAAAATTAAAATTGAGGACAACCGTACTAGTAATAATAAAAATAACAACAGCAATAAACACTATAAGTCAATTTTACTATAGAATTAAATGCAAACACTACTAGATTTTCTTCATACCAGTCTTTTTTCTCGCTGTCATTGTTTCGGAAGTACACACGTACTCTTGCAACTTCTTTCATGACGTCCAAGTTGGCTTTGTGTATCTCGATGACTTTCTCAATGATTGGAAGAGCATGGTCTTTGATGTAGTCAATCACCTCTAAAGATGTTATGGTCAATTTTTCTGCATCCTCTTCCTCGTAATCTGTTTTAAGGCAAAAAAATTCCAAAACAATATGTAATGTCCTCCAAAGATCTGTACACCCTATCAAACTTTCTTTGATAAAAACAATTCTATGCCCATATATAGTAATGATATGCTTATATGGTCATGTGATGTCATCATGACCATATTTAGGTATGTCACCCTGTTGCAGAGAGTCTAGGTTTAAAATGCTAATTAACAATTGTGCTTTTTAGACCATAATATAGAAAAGGAATTTTAAAAATTGGCTGGATTAGCAAATTAACATTTTTTTTACAACCTTAAAATAAGATGGTGCAAGAAAGTATACAGTAATACATACTGCAGGTATTGAAATGCATGCGTATCCAAATAACTTTATATTGATTGCCATAATCCCTAATATTGTGGTTTAAAAGCATAATTTGGACCAAACTAAGCCATAAAAACCCTCCCTCTGAACCCTACAAGGGGTTTTATGTTCCGGGCCGTCGACCCCCTTGTTCGGACCCCTCCGATGGCAAATTTCTGGCACCCCCGCTGAAAGGAGTAATGATAATAATGATGATAGAATATAATGCCTTGAATAAAACTTTGAGAAAAAGACAGCATTTATTATAATGCTTATCTTTTTACATTTTGTTTTTGTTTTTTTGTTTTTTTTTGGTTTTGCATCCATTTGTAATATTTATCATGTATATAAAAACTGTAATAATTCAATCAATTATTTATTGAATAATCTTAATATATTTTTGTATTAATCTTATAGAATTTCTGTCATTTATGCAATATAAATTAACAATTAATTCTTTAAACAGTATGGCTTATTTATATTCATACCTTTTCTCTTGTGTGCAATATTCATGTTAATTTTTTTTTCATGTTTTAGGGGCAGCTGACTCAATTAATTTACTGTAATTCATTTGTTTTAAATGTACCTGACCATTGTTTTGTTGCTTCTTGTTATTGTGCTTTTTAATGTTTATATGGTCGAATAAATAAATAAAATGAAAATGAAACAAGAAGTGTTTCAGAAATGTACTGTTAAGGTTTAGAATGAATACTTATATTAGTAGTAATTTGGCATTTACATAAACATCTTAAATAACTTCCTATTGCTTAGGCCTTTGAAACGAGTTAATCACACAATGTGCATTGTCCTCTCTTTTATATCCATGAGAATTCCACAATACCAAAAGTACTGGATACTTTAATATTTACTTCCTACTACCCACACATTCATTCTGTCTGGCTTGGAGTGACATTAAAGTGGCTTGGCTTGGAGTGACATTAAAGTGGCTTGCCAAAGGACAATAAAAAAAAATTAATGGCCCAGGTGGGATTCGAACCCCAACCTTACATTTCAGAGGCTGAATCATATCCACTGTTCCATTTTCTCAAGTGTTCATTCCAATTTAATTTAACATTGAAAATATACAGAACCAAGGACTTGGATTAAATTTGAATTACAGTAGTAAACTTACATCCAGCGAGAATTCTCAGTTGACCAAATACCCTTGAAAATTATTTAAAAATCACAATAATATGTAATGTCAATGAACTATCGTGAAAACAGTGCCCTAGAGAACATGTGTGCAGCCAAAAAATTTATTGAATTATTAACATATTGGAAATTATAGTGGACCAGTGACTCAGATTATATTTAATTTAGTAAATTTAATCCAGAGATATAATTTATTCTCAATTACCAAAAAGTTGTCATAATCTCAAAAGCTCCAATGAGGGCAGTATAAAAGAGGCAGTAGAGTATATTGGCCCTATGGCTACCCATGCAAAAAAGGTCTAGTTATCAGTCAGCCGAATGTTTCTATAGCTCCTCATTGGAGCTAAAAATACAATGTAGTGTCAACCTTCCATCGTGAAAATGGGCCACTACAGTCATGATTGTATGCCGTCATAAAATTTAATTAAAAAACTAATTTACATATTCATTCATTCATTACGTTCATTCATATATTTCAGGGGGTCATGGTATGATCGTCCTCGTCGCGACCCTGACTAATGCTAATTCTGCCACCACCCCAAGGTATACAAGTGACTTATATCACTGTCTAGACTAGACCAGAGCGGGTCCTTTCTACGGCCTGCCCTTACAGTCATAATTCTGCAAATGTCAGAGATATCAGTGGACATGATAAGAAGCAGATTCATTAATTCATTCAGTCCATGCCGCATTTATTTACACATAATTCATACATAAACCTCATTTATTACTTTTTATTCCTTCACTTCTACCATAGTTTTATATTCACTTGCTTGATCATTTCTTCTATTTTCATTTGTTATCTGTACAGTAACTTCTTCTTTATTTAATTCCTATTTTCCTTCCCTTATTATTCCTTCAATTTCCTCTATGGCAGTGGCAGCATAAAATATATTTTCTGTGGGGGGGGGGGAAGATCTAAGATGTCTGAGAGGGGGCTTGAGCTTGTATGCCTGAGGAGGGGGAGGGTTTGGGATGAGAAAATTTTTTTTTTGGTCTGACTGCCCGATGAGCTCGGCCTGTGGTGGGGAGGGGGCTTGACTTGCCCGATGGGGGATTTAAGCCAATGCCCCGCTGGCTCTGCCACTGACCTACGGTTACATGCTTCATCCATCCCTTCACTCGTTCAAAAAATACATTATCTATTCATTCACTCTTTACATTCAATCATTCATTCGTTATCCATAACACTTTTTACCTGTTCATAACTCATTTATTTATATAAATGTTATTTTTTCAATCCATTCTTTGCCTAATTCATTCATGCATTGATTGATTTTGATAGACAGATTTATCGATGATCAATTAACTGATAACTAATCATTCAATCATTAAATTTATTTATTTATTCAATAACTAATTGATAAATTTTTTCAATAATTCACTGATTTATTTTTCATTCATCTATATTAAACAGAGATTCACTCATTAATTTAATATAAATGCCAAATTATAAGATCAGTTGCAAATTTTCAAAACCGAACAATATAACACTACACATCGCCCTCTATAGACCAGAATTCATCTAATTTACAAATTTCAACTAGAATCACTGACTAAAAAATTGAAAGTTCATAAACGGAAACTCAAAGTACTATAGGAAAGAACGGAGGCAGCCAGACTGGAGCAGAGGATGCTAACAAACTGACCAATAGACAAACAGAAACGTACATTCAGGTGGTAGCGATATCAGGCCACATGAATTGGTCAAGACACTGGTAATTAATTAATCAAATTGAGACAGCTATTGCTACAGGGTACAATGATAACGTCCATGAAATCAGTATTTTCAATACTTTAGTTCTACTCAATTGGAAATACATTGCTTCCACAGCAGAAGGTGTTTAGTTTAGATAGGAAATCTAAATATATCACAGCAATTCTTATGCCTATCCACATAATTCCTAGTCTACTATTAAAGAAGTTACTTTCATGAAATTTCCAAGATCAGTGTAAAATTGTTATTAATAATTAATATCAATTTAACTACAGCTTGGTTTTCCTACAATCGCTACACGCTATCACCGGCAGCTTTCGGTGATGCTGATTGGTTGGTCAAATCGGGGAGCCTTTCCGATTGTGTCAGGGATTGCTTCGCAGTACCGTGATACACTTAAAATTTGTGGCGACAAAGAGTAGCGATGTTATGGAAATTCGGCTTTTGAGTTTCTATTGGGTTTAAATTATTGTCTGTTACTCTATGAAATTATTCCTGTTTTTTATACTGAAGTGTGATCTACTGAACAAAGCTGTTCAAAGATACTTGATTTTATTCTGATATCGATTCTCTTCATTGTAGTAGAGAGCTGATGACCTAGGGCCCTAGGTATCAGCTATCTTTAATGGACTAAGTCACACTTCAAGGGTCTCTAAGCTTTTTAAGTCCAGGTTAATAACATACTGAGCTGATTAAGCTTATGATATTAGTCAGACTCTTTCCTCTTAAAGTCTATTTTGATTTGTCAGTCATCAAAAAAAAAAGAAGAAAGAAACAAACAAAACACACACAATGATTGTATGTGTTTGAAATCATGTGGACGCTTCAAATTGTAAGATCAAGAAGGCCATTCCGTGGCAAAACAGAAAAAATAGAGGTAAAGTTTACATGTTTGCAATTTGGTAATAAATTGACATACCCTTCTGAAAATCATATCTATAGAAAATATAATTATACGTAAAATTTTAATTATAACTGTTAGTTTGTAAAGTTATTAAACGATATTCAGATACGTTGTTTTACTTCGGAAACATCTCAGGCGCTGTATTGTCACAAGTGCGACATTTTTTTTCTTTCAATTTATCACTTTTGGGTTAATCATAAGCACTGTGCATACATCGTAAAGATTATTGATATGAAAATACCATCAACCAGTTAATTTTGACTTGCCAAACTCCATTAGCTCAAAACAATTATTGAATAGCATTCCGTGGCAAAACAATGTCTCTTCATCATAGCTACATTGTGTTGCCACGTAATCTGGCATTTATGTTGTTTTACCATGGAAAATCACCAGATTTTAAGTTTGTGCTTAAAGACAGGTGATGCTGTCTCCAAAACCACTCACTGTTGAGACCTGAAATTTTCCTCAAATGATATTATCTCAAAATCAACAAAAATGTCAGTTACGCTGTTTTGCCTTGGGACGGCCGAACTGTCTCCAGCTCTGGATAAAACAAAGTATCTAGCAAGTGTGTGGACGTGATTATGAAGAAGCAGCTCTCTCCCAGATTATCAAATTTTATTTGTCAAAATCATTCGAGACTCGACAAGACTTTACAGCTCTTCGACTAATTAAATACCACTATTGGGATTAGGTTATGGTCTTTAGCAGCCTTGGCCTCTAATTAGAAAAATATTAGCACAATAATGATAAAAGATTAATGTGTTTAATCCGTCCATTTATAAGGCTACATGAAATGCCTTTTTAAAACTAGGGAGCCCTTTCATTGAGTTAATTTGAGTTTCTTTGGAAAACCATTGCACAAACAACATCAAAACATTGGTTAAGAAAAGAAAACAATAGGCCTAATAAAAAATGCATATCAAAATAGAAAGTGTACTGGGATTTTCCAGGATAACCCAATGCAAAGACCAAAGGCTTGTTTCTATTGGGGTCCAATATAAGATGATGATTGTTGCAATAAGGTTTGAATTTACATAGAAGTGGATATCTGTGTTTATTTGAGTGCAATTCATCATTGGTGTATCTACATTAGGAGTGCATGTGGATACATGCCACCAAAGAAAACTTGCGCCCTAAGTCGCATCCCCATCCACATCCCCCCCAACACTCTGAAAAAGTTTGGAGCAAAAAAAAAAAAAATGCTTCCAAGTAGTTAAAAATCACCTTGTTTTGTGAGCTTGTCCCCTCTTTTTATTACCGAGCCCCCACTTGACCTTTTCCACATTAGCTCCCCCAATTCGAGAGCCCTAGATACGCCACTGCAATTTACTATATTTCTACGGTATTAATAAATTTTCCCAGGGTGCTGGGTATTGGTACTGTATGTGTTTCATACAGTAGGTACTGTATTTAAGTTAATGACCAGGATAATAATAATTATAAAGTGCATACAGTATAAAGCCTTGGCATTGTGCTTTAACTGGCACTTTATAAAGTGATAACTTGACCTAGATAACAGGTGTAGAAATGTATGTAATTATAAATTGTCTAGTTTGTCCATGACAAGTCATGTTTAACAATATACATTTACAGTAGTGGCGCCAGTAGGGAGGGTCAGGGAACAAAATTCCCCCATCAAACAAGGATGAAACCCTCTGACGTCAGACACCATTTGAGGTTGTTGGGACTACTGTAAGAACTTACTTTAAAAGGCAGATCTTAACCATATGTGATTAGAGTTTTATAATAGAAAGTGGTCTACAAAAGACAACAGTTTCCTAAACCTACAGTTAAACCTACAGTCAGACACCATTTGAGGTTGTTGAACTACTGTAAGAAGTTACTTTAAAAGGCAGATCTTAACCATAATAATGTGATTAGAGTTTTATTAGAAAGGAGTCTATAAAAGGCAACAGTTTTACCATCCTAATCCTACAAACACATCTGTCTATGGCAAGAAGATGTGTTCGTTTGATTTCCACCAGGGGTTTTGCGTTGGGACACTAAACCGAAAAGACCTTTGTTTTGGGTCCCTGTACTTGTTGAATCCCTGTTGGCAAATTTCTTATAGATGAAGTGACATTGTATTAATGCAAAAAGATTTTTCCCAATCGATGTAGAGGCCTTCTTTGAAACCATATGGAATATATCACTGTAGAATAATTACCATATTTTCTGCATTTACATGGATTTTAGGATTTACATCAATTTTTTTTTTTTTTTTTTTTGTGTAATAGCGCTCGGAGAAATTATTATAGGGTGCTATATTAAGAACCTATATATTATTATTATTACTATTAATATTATTATTATTATTATTATTATTTAGGAGTGAAAAATACAACTTATATTAAGGGGTCACAGCATATTTATTAATATTTAAAGTTTTCTCATGTAAATTGGATGAATTATTCTTTGGAACCCCCTCCCCGATAAAGCATGGGCCAATTCCCCATTAAAATGTGCACCATTTTCAAAATGTATCATTTTAAAGAAGGGCTTAAGCATAGTCTGGCCTCTATTCTGAAACTGATAGAATGGCAATGTTCCGGAAAGAAGTAATATTTTTTTGGAAGGCTAAATCATTCCGTCAACCATCCAAAGTCCACATAAATAAATACATTATAAATGTGTATTTTGAATTTTTCATATTTAATGGTAAACCCTCAGGGCCTCGATTACTTGGGTGGTCTACATACAGTTGAAACTTGAAGGATAAAAATGTGTGTGTACCTTGTTGAACAACCCACGTTGACACCGAATGCATGGTATTCAGAACATTCGCGATGACTCGACATCCTAATTTTTGAACTACGTGACCATCAAGGTGTTTCTTCATTGCATGTGTCACAACTTGTATTCCACTTTCCCTAACAGGTGCCTATGGGATCAAAAATACAAAAGATATAAATTTTTAAATAGTTAGGATCTATATTTGTACAAAAAAAAATCATTATTTAGAGTGTTCATTTGTACAAAATTAAAATATCTTAAATTTTAAGAAAAATAAAATTTCTTAAAATTAGAAAAAAAAATTGAATATCAAGATGCGATTCAAACTCACAACTTTAAGTTCTTTAGAACACATTCTTAACCCTCCGCGCCATAAATGCGATGTGCCCTATTAGAGGCAATGGCAGTAATGTACAGTTCTTGCCCCTGTTTTGTTTTGTAGGTGTAGGGGGAAACTGGGGTCCAATTTAATAAGGAGCATTGGACGTTTGTTAGAAATAAACTCTAGATATGTACAAAATTTCCTGCACGTCTGTTCAAAACTGAGACACTGGACGCTTTAAAAGTTTTGGAAACAAGATGAAGAACAAGAAAAGCAGTGAGCCTCTGAGGTCAGCGTCTTGCGCGGACACAAGCATTTGTTTTTATTCATAATGCAATTTAAATGGAAAAATATTTTTACTGTTATTGTGAATATATAAAAAATAAAACAAATTCACCAAAAAAATTGATAAAAATATATATAAAAATGCTAATAATGTACAGTATGCATACACCAAAATCACTGAATAAAATATGTGGAAGTTGTATATTAAAACACTATCACCTTTGCCAAATATGAACACTTTTATTAAGTAACTAGTAATTGATTATATTTACATGTAATCAACAAGTCACATTTGATAATTTTACTGAAAACCACACAGAATGATGTCTCTTGTGGTGTTTGATTTAATGTGTTTTTTCCTAAATTCAACACAGTTTTAAAAATAAATCCCTTAAAGTTTACTTGGGAAAGAAAATATGAATAAGACTGAATTATTATGTTATAAGTTCTTTTTTTTTTTTTTTTTTTTTGGGGAAGACAGCATTCTTCTATTCTTTGCATTCAGTAGACACACATTGTATATTGGGTGGAATCAATCACTAACGTATCTATGTGTAATTGTAATGGATGGGGGGGGGGAGCTGATGGCGGTGCTAAGTGAGAGAGCTCAACGATAAAATTAGAGACTGCTAGCTGACAAACTAAAGTGGTTATGAAGTGAATTTTAGCGTAATTTTGTCCCTTCTAAATTGTCCAATTGGAGGGGAGGCAACAGGAGGGAGCAAACTTTATTTTAGGAGGATGTGCAACTCTCTTATACACATCTAGATGTGTATAAGAGACAGATATCGCTATTGCTATCTGTCTCATGTCATGTGATGAATGAGGCTTCCACAGAATGCCTCCATCTACCCCTACTACTTTTGCTGTCCCCCATGATGTTCATCCCACCTTGGTTCTCTCCTACCATTCGCTTCTATGTTGTTTTAGGTCTTCCTAAAACCCCTATGTCACTGTATTAATTTAACACATTTATAGAAATATACAATACATAAATAAGTGAAAAAACTGAATTATTTTGATCTGGTGTCTCAATGGAAGTTAATAACTAATGCGATCCTTTTAATCAAAGAATTTAACGAATTCAATGTCCAATTAAATGCTTTGGTTTTTCCCCAGATTTTTAACACAGACAAGTCTTTAAAGAAAAAAACCATTAAACTGATTACTATAATACTAGCCAATTGGAAACACTTAAACATCCAAATACACCAAGTAAAGCAATTTTCATACATTTAATTATATTTAAATCTAAAAAATGAAATTTAATTTTAAAAAAATCCAAATATTGAATTTTATTTATTTTAGTTTTGTACTTTTAAACTCATCTCTGACAGCACATTTGTAAATAAACTAAATAATTTAAATAATTTGACTTTCTCAGCTATTAGGTACAGAAATATTTTTATTAAATCAAAATGACTCAAAAATGTCGAAAGTAAAAGTGTTCTTTCCAGAAATAGTAAAGACAGTCTGCCTATAATCATAGGGTCATAGGTATTTGTGCTCTTCCTATACTATTTCAAGTTACTAAATCTAACATTACTGTATTAGTCAAATAGTTGTGAGTTTCAATGACATCCGAAGATAGTCACATTGTAGTGTCCTTGGCCAAGAAATTTGTCCCCACAAGGGTTAATAGCCATCTATAAGAAGATGATCATTTGGGACATTTGGAACTTCAATACATTTTTGTCACACTTTCACCCATGAGTACATAAGATAATATAAGATAAGCTATGAAAATAATTCTTTAATTCAAATAAATTTAAAATAGAAAAAATCTTTCTTCTTGAATAGAACATACTTTAACACATTAAAAAAAAATAATGATATGAAACACTATGTAATATTTGTCTAAATTATCATCACTGAACGTGACTAGAATTAACCCCCTGGGAGTTAAAGAGGTTACGCATACTTTTCTGTATCAATGACAAGGATTAATAATTTGTAAATTATATGACACTAACAATGTAAGTTGTTAATGTTCATAATAATAAATAATAATAATAATGCGCATTTTCCTCGCGATGATGATGACGGTGATACCATTTGGTTTTTTTTTGTACTGGTAATGTCAAACAAAAAAAATCTATAAAAAAAACTATACAAAAAAACACAAGAACATTAAGTATAGCAGAAATAAAATATAAAATGAATAAACTATAAAATGAAATGTAGCAAAATACAAAAAAAAATTAATAATAATATAATGTAAATAAATTAATATATTTTTATAATAAAATAGTAGGCTTATACAAAACTTCCTAACACATAATAAATTATTATTAACATATATTAAAAAATATATCTGTTGGATTATGACTGCAATACCCATCCTTAATACCATTGAAGTAGATAGCAGCGTAGGGAATAAGAATTTCTGTATTACAAGCAATGAAAACATCCACATACCATACTATACTAAATGTACTGCAATCGGGTAATGAATAATTACGAATATAGAAATATGATTAAGACTTATATAAATAGGCCTACTCATATCCAAGGTGAATGAGTAAAGAAATAAGTAAAAAAAAATAGCTTAATAGGCCTTAATAGTATTGCGATTCGACATACTGTATTGCAGACCGGTAATACTGTAAAACCCCTAATTTTCACGACCTTAAAAATTCACGATTTCGTCTCTCAGGAGTTTCTTTGACCTTCTCTCAGGATCAAAGATTTCAAGGAATATAAACTCTTAATTTAATACTACAGTAAGTGCATTTGACATAACTGAAAAGCAGATGCTTTAAAACTAGTAATTACCTGAAAAATTTGATATTTTAAACCTATGCTTAGGTACTAATATTCGAATAAACATCCCAGGTATTTATCATTGTTGAGAAGAATATTTGAGGGGGCATAAATTTGAAGGAGGCATTTATTCGAGGGAGGCATATTTTTGGTGTAAAATGGAAACGTATACACAAATAAATGCCCCTTACCTTCGCTGTAAATGTAGAACAACAACACATAATTACTGTCAAATGTGTTGCGTTAGACTAACTACAGACAGATTTGAAATAATGTAATTTTATTGGAGTACTGCATTAATAGAAATAATAAAGGGGGCTGGGGAGGGGGATTGCCGTTAGTTTATATGAGGAAAATATGAAGCTCTAGAGGAAGCTCTATTCAGGGCGGGGTATTTATTCAAATAAATATGGTAAATAAATGTAAAGGTAAATACAGTATGAAACAAACCTTTTTTGTTGGTGTTGGTTTGAAGCGAGCTAGGTTGCCTAGCAGCAGGCAGCCATTTTCCTGGATTTCTCTGTGGTTGATGTGGGCCGCCATGGCACCCATCATGGTCGCCGCAACTTTCATGTTAATAAACACGTCCATGTTCTCGTCAACTTGGCTGAGGACGCTTAGCAACTTCACCCATAATGCATTGTGTTCTATTGGCTCCTGTAAATGAAAAAAGACATTGCACATTAAAAAAAAACTCCATTTTTAGAAATATGATTTACACAACTCATTATAATGGTAAAGAGTTTTAGGGTTTCATTTAATTTTTAATTCTCAATTTGTCAATTATATATTCCTCAGGCACTACAGACCTGATATTTCATCCCACGCAGTGGTGGCGCTAGAAGGGGGGGGGGGGGAACAAC